GCAGGGTTATACACGCGAGAGAGCAGCCACTTATAGACGAGATGACAAGGGAGCGGCCTTACCGGGCAGGGTGTCAGTGGCTGTGGGGTCGCGCTTCCACAGGCTGCGCAGAGACAACAGCCACTCCATGAACTTACGCTCGCGCCTGAACGCGGTTCGAGGATACAAACTCTGCTTGTAGAGGTGAGTGCCGTTGAGGGAGGACAAGTCGTAGAATCGGCCGCGCAGATGGCCGATCATCGCCAACACTACAGCAGTTGCCAGCTTCTGGAGTGACTCCATGTCCCCTCCGTTTTGTTGGCCTTCGATCGGTCGCTCATGAAGCTGGTACGTGTGGATGAGAGGAGTGCCGTTTGCATCTGTGCCTGAGATAGTAACGTCCTTGCCGCCAGCGTGAAGTTGCAGAAACTCGAAGAAGTCGCCCGAGGTCGGGCCGAACTGCGAGTCATAGGTGACGTACCGGCTGCGCAGGATGAGGATGGTGTTGTCCGTATCGATATGCAACACTTGTTTCGAAAATAGTAACACATTTTTTTCCCATCCTGTTACAAGGTTGTCGAGTTCTGCTTCAACCGTATCTTGCTTGGCACGATTGTGACACAACCGGAAAGCGGGGTTGAGATTTACTCCTCGACTGTCGTTCCGGACAGTTCATACCGAGCGACGTTCAAGATCTATTTTCGCTCGTCACTCGGTATGCACATCGTCTCGCGCAACAGCTGCTAGTCTAGGAGTTAGTCCTGAAGCGAACCTATGACCGCATCGCCATGAAGCCGGTAGATGACAAGAAGCGCGGGCGAATCATAAGCATGTTGCGTGCAGGGCATTCAATTAGGAAAATAGCCAAAGTTCTTGGCATAGGCAAGAGCACCGTGCACGATTACGGTTTGAAAGTGATTGCCGAGACTAGTCGCGATGAGGTGCGACCCACGATGCCCACGGCCGGCTGCCCCCGCTTAATCACAACCCGACTCCAGCGCGGAATAGTACGGGCGATTACAAGCGGCGAGGCAAAAAGCAGTGTAGACGTGGCAAAGATGTTGAAGGAGAAGCACGATCTGGCAGTAGACTCGAAGACGGTCAGGAACTCGTTACGATCCGCGGGCTTGATCGCCGTGCAGCAGCCCAAGAAACCCAGGCTCTCACCTGAAAACATACGTGATCGTCTCGATTTCGCAAGGGCGCATGCCGACTGGACACTGGAGGACTGGAAGCGGGTGATTTGGTCTGATGAGACTAAGATAAACCGTTTCTGCTCCGACGGACGTGCGTACGCCCTTATTCGCGAGGGCACCAACCTCCAGAGCCATCAAGTCCAACACGGCGATGTGGGGCTTTGTTCGAGAGGCCTTCATCAGAGAAAACTCTGCATGCTCATGCCACGCGATGTGGGGCTTTTTTCGAGAGGCGTTCATTGCCCCTCGCGTCCAACCCACTTCCTTTGCTGCGTTTCGTAAGTCTCGCGAATTTCGCCCAACTCCCCTCTCAAAACCTAAGTTTTTGACTTTGGGGGTTTTGGGATCGGCGCTTTAATGCATCCAGTGGAGAGCTCGGGGGTTTTGTCAGTGCTTGACAAAAACAAAAATCAGAATTCTGTCGCGAGTATGGCTAGGCGGATGGAATCTCAGTTGACCACACGGGCAACTAGCAAAAAATCCCCTAATGGATTGGCTGCTGCTAGAAAGTAGCTGTTACATCTCTCCCGCGTCTAGAGGCAAAGCAATCGTGGGTATTAGGGGATGCCGTTGAGGCAAATTTTGGGGGGTTGTGGGAGTGTGGGAGGGGGAACGTCTGTATAGTACTAGGACTTAGCCGATTGTTTTTTTTTGTTTGGTGTGTGAGGGGGAACGTCTGTACACGAGGAGTGAACGGATATTGTACTTGTAGGTTGCTTGGTGTGTGGGGGGATGTCTGTACAACAGGACTTGGCCAATTTTTGTAGGTTGCAGGGTGTGTGGGCGAAGTCTCTCTGGCCTTTGGTGACTTCGCCAAATTTTCAGGATTGTGGGCAAACAGGTACAATTTGCCTCTGTTGGGCTGAGAAAAGCCCTAGGATCTTTTCAGAGACTAAGTCCCACTTGTATGAAATGCTTGAGTAGTGCAGCGGAAGTGTTGAGTAGTTGAACCCTTGCACTAGTATGTGAGAGCAAGTGATTGATTAAAAGAAACAAGTATACAGCAATACAGTGGCGGAAAAAATTGCCCGGATGTTTAACGAAGAGGAAATTGCGTCACGTTGACCTGGGGGAGGGGTGCAAACAAAGAGAAAGCAAACATTATAAAGTATTCGGGCATGTAAACAGAAATCATGCTAAGAAGGACGCACCTGTCGACGCTGGAACTTCAGATTCAATACGTTGAGCTCCGCGAGGATGTCAGCCAGGAAGTACAGAAGGAAGTGGAACTTCAGGCTAGTGACAACAGCATACATCTGACTATCATACTCCCGCAGCAAGAGGATAGCAGCTGGGAAGACCTCGACCAGCCGCTGAATGGCCTCACCCCGAGAAAGCCAGCGGATCTGATGGATCCCCTGCATCTCGAGGTTGGTCTCGGTCACCACCTCCTGCAGCTGCTTGAAGTAGTTGTGGACGACGATCGAACGGCCGAGGATATCCGCCAAGGAGCGGACCACCTTGTCAACCACAGCTAGATCAGGAAAGTCCGCTGCCGCGTCCTTAGCGGCTAGGGCCTCCCTGCATGCATGGCCACGGAGGGATGATTAACAAAGCGCGGAGAAACAGCATGATAAAAGATGGGTGGAGTGCGAATGGCTACCTATGAGCAATGCAATGGCATGATACTAGATGCGGAATCCGAGTGCAAAGACGGGCGACAAGGCCCAACTGCGCTCCCGTCATCACGCTGGCGCCGTCGGTGCTGATTCCACAGATCTTATTGAGGTCGACCCCACATGACTCCAGCTGATTCAGAAGCATGGCTTGCAGGGAGGCGGCATCGCACTTCTCCACCGTGAGGTGCGCAAAGAACTCCGTGGCGACCTCCGTACCGCGCAGGAAGGTAAGGTAAACGATCATGTGCTTCCCTCGACGCCGGTCCTTACTTTCGTTGAGTTGGATCCCAAGAAAGGGGCTCGCCTTGATATGGACCATCTGCTTTGCCCGCAGGTAAGCCACTAGGTTCTCGACGAGCTGGATGAAGCCATACCTGCCATTCGGGTAACACCGGAGGGCATAGGGAAGGAGTAACGCAAATAGAGACAGTAAGTTCAAACAAATATCATAAACGACAAATGAGGAACTCGGATGAGGAGGGCTTCGCCTTAAAAACGTAGGACACTTACTCGCTCTGGTAGGTTCCTCGTTCCTTCAAGGGCAGATCAGGTTTCCCCTTTTCTGCCATGAACTGGACAAGGGAAATGAACAGAACGATAGGTGCATCCGACTTGCAAACAAAAAGCACGATGGCCATGAGCCGCTTGAGTCGTCGAGCCTCATTGTCACCGTTCTCAAAGTCGACGATCGAATTCTGCTTCTTCATCTTCCCGCCGCGCTGCAGTTTCTTTGCCACGGCAGCCTCATGCTTCAAACTGTGATGATGCTTACGCATTGTTTGCTTCTGAATATCGATGCCGCCCTCACCGTTGCGGCCGTACTGATAGTCGGGGTCGTCGCCAAACGCCATGCAGACGCTGCACTTCATGCAAGGGCGACCCTCCTTCGTCTCGGAAATCACCAACCATGGAAAGTGGCGTAACCACTACTCCCTCGCTTTGAGTTGGAGCTCCTCCACCGTCAGGAAGAATGGCCCGTCGTCGTCGGACGGCGGGGAGCTGGGACCAGGATCGCCGCTGCTGCTGCCGAGCTGGATAGGATTAGCTGGAGTGGAGGCGCATGCATGCCGACCGAAGCTGAGTTTGCGCTGGATGTACTTCCTCTTGATGACTAGTCATATGTCGAGTAGCGGAAGGAGGCGGTGCGGGTTTGACAGGCACAGTAGGCTCGACGGGCATACGCCTCTGATGCGGCTTAGTGTTAAGGGGAGGCGGCGCGGGTCGGGACCGAAGCAGGTCTAGCCCCATAACCGTCGATGGTGCAGCATCTTTAGGAGGGTTAGCATTAACCTCCTCTAAGGCCATAAGATGAGACACACGATATGAGCAGGAACTAGGTGGGAGAGCCAGCCAAGAATGAAGCACTAGGACGAGGGGAGGACGAGGACACCAGAGAGAGCACTCATGGCTGCAAAGAGTGGTTCTCTGAGACGTGGTGGTCTGAGATTGGGGGCTTCTGTGGGCTGATTGTTCACCATGGCGGCTCGAAGAAGAGCGGCTTGGGGTTGCAGATTCAATACGAAACCCTCGTCGTGATGGCACGACAAGGGTGGCTTGCCGGTTTCATCGGGAAATGCGCTGGCACATTGCTGCCCAGCGCTGCTTGCTTGGAACCTGGCTGGCAGCGACGGTGCCCGTAACAAAACAGTGGCGTGGCAGCAGCTTGCGTCAGCAAGCTGAAAATAGATGTGCGCTGGGACTGTTTTGCTGCCGCGCTCGGGGTAAAATTGAATGCGCGTGCTGCGGTGCACATGGGACTGGGCGGCTGGCAGTGGCCTAGTGGGCATGTGGACTAGTGGCCCTGCTGCTAGAAGGGCGGATTTGTCGGTATCAGACGGAAAAAAACGGCCGGTCTGATAAATCAGATGAAAGTGTATACCTAGTCTGATGTTTCAGACGAATTCTTATAACTTGTCTGAACGATCCGACGAATGTATTTGGCTCGTAAAAAAATCAGATGAAACATAAAAACCCGGTCTGATTTTCAGACCATCAAACCGATTTGGTCTGATAACGGGAGCCCCGGTGTCAACTCATACATATATTTGTATGTAGAAGTTTTAAGCTAGATAGGTTTGTGTCTTAGAGGGTACAACTCCAACCCTATATCTCTCTTGTTCTCACTTGTTTCTAGACATTTTGCTATTCTAACACTAGAACCCTTCCTCCACATCTTTCCAGCATTATACGTGTTGGGCTGAAAAATAGCCCTTAGGATCTTTCCAGAGACTAAGTCCAGTTGTAAAAGAGACTTGAGTAGTGCAGCGGAAGTTGAGTAGTTGAACCCTTGTACTAGTATGTGAGAACAAGTGATTGATTAAAAGAACAAGCATACAGCAATATATAGAAAGTAGGAAAGTAAAGCAGTTGTAGAATACAGTTGAAAGGGCGGTTATCGAGTCGCACAGCGACTCGATTGTCGCTTCGGTTACCATCCTTGCAGTTGTAACGGTCGGTCGCAACCTCCGGTTGCAACCCTTCGAGTCCTTTCGTGTTCTTTGTCCACCCCCTTGTGTAACCTCCGTTGACTCGCGTACCCGTTACGATCTTCCTCGAGTGTGGTGTTGCACTTCAGAAAAGCTTAAGTCCTCGAGATATTTCCAGCACTCCCCTTCGTTTCTAGAGTGCTGCTGTGTCCGGATTCGGTGATGTTTATCTGCCAGGTCAGTAGCATGCAGTAATCGAACTTTGCTTTCGCTAGCTTCTTTGTCAGGTAGTCTGCAGCCATTTCTATCGTGGGGCAGTAACCGAGTTGAAGTCTCCCCTTCGCGATTTCATCTTTGACCAAGAAATACCGCAGGGCGATGTGCTTGGTTCGGTTGGCGAAAACCGTCCTTGTTCGCGATTTTGATCGCAGATTGGTTGTCGCAGAGGAGTGAGAAGACGGGCAGGGTCGCAATCTTTGCTTCCTCGAGTAACTCTCGCAGGTAAAGTCCTTCCTTGGTCGCAGTGCAGAGGGCGATATATTTTGCTTCAGCCGAAGATAGTGCGATTAGTTCATGTTTGCTCGACTGCCAGGAGATAGTCCCGATAGGCTCTAGTCGGTAGATGTAGCCCGTCCTTGAGCGTCGATTTTCCCTGTCTCCCGCGTGGTCCGGCGTCGACGTATCCGAGTAGTTGTACGGACGATGTCGTTACTTTACTGTAGGTAAGTCCGGTCGTCGGCGTAGAGACGAAGTAGAGTAGTGCCCGATTTAGTTCCTCGAGATCTTCTTGTTCCGGCTGCTTCAGATGCGTCGCCAGTTGGCTCGCGCTGTAAGATAGGTCAGGTCGGCAGGTTACTGCTGTGAATAGTAGGCAGCCGAGCTTCTGCTGATACTCCTGGATTTGCTTCACGGGGAGTTTTGCGGAGGTGTCGTTGTTGTTCCTATAGCGGTAGGGAGTCGTGACTGTAGTCGGTGTTAGTCCGAATTTCTTCGCGACAACGCCTGCGTATTTTCCAGCATATAGGTAGAACGTCGAGTTGTCTTCGACGACGTTCAGACCCAGGGACTGGGTCACGGTGTCAGACACCGTGAGTGTCAAGTCACTTCTCAGCTCCCCTTCGAGCCAGGTGGCGATGTCGGTAGTGGAGCCGATGTAGAGCAGGTCGTCGACGTAGACGATGACTAGGATAAAACCTCATTCTTTCTGTAGTCGGTACATGACTTGGTCGTGCGGCAGCTGTAGGAACCCGATTCTGACGAGGCGGCCGTGAAGATGCTGCTGCCAAAGCCGCGGAGCTTGCTTGATCCCGTAGAGGGATTTTATCAGCTGGCATACTTTTGCGATGAATCCGTGGGGCTGCTCGACGAAGATCTCGGCGTCCACAGGTGCGTACAGAAAGGCGTTTGCGACGTCGATCTGGCGCAGTGGTAGTTTCTTCGTGGCCGCGACGGGGAGAAGAATGCGCAAGGAGGTGTGACGGGAGACTGGGGCGAATGTTTCTGTGTAATCGGTTCCGTATCGTTGATCGAATCCTCGTATGACCCAGCGAGCCTTGAATCGTTCGATGGAGCCGTCCGCATTAGTCTTGATGCGGTACACCCACTTTCCCGAGAGTACGTTCTTCCTGTTGATGTTCGTTGCAGGAACCAGCTTCCATGTATTTCGGTCTTGCAGAGCTTTCAGTTCCTTTCCATTGCCTCCTTCCATTTCGCCTTATGTTCCCCCCCCCAAAGCCTGCGACAGAGTCGTTGGCTCGCGCGGAGACGGCGGCGGCGGGTGCTGGACGGAGACCCATAAGCCGAGTATCTACAGTCCCGTGTTGTCACAGGATCGAATGTGTCGAGGAAAGGTTTGCTCAATGTTGCACTATCAATCAGTACAAGGTGCTTTTATACTTTCATAGTACATCAGGTAACCAGGTTTATCCTATCCAAAGAAAATAGACCCTTCTAGAAATAGAATCACCATGCGTATAGCCACGCAAGGCTATTGGCTTTAAGGGATTACGGCAGGATTAAGCTACATATAGCGCGCCAGTACATCCCGAGCCTGGTCGGTGATATAATTAGAATAACAGGATAAACCAAAGGATAATGGAAAAGGAGGAATAGGAAACCAAATGAGATGGGATAAAGACCAAATGAATCAGGATAAAAAGAGGAATGAAATAGAAAGGAAATATGGAAAGGGGAAATTGGTGTAACGGGGTCGTACTCTCACACGTGTGTGTGTGTCGAGGTTAATTTTCATTCCCGGAATAGGTTGCTTCGTCACCATCTTCTGGATCAGGTAAGAAGTTTGGGCCGATGCTTTCTGAGACATTCGTGTTGACCGTGTGAGGTGTAACGTAACCTTGGTCAGCGAAGTGGTAAAGGGTGTCAAGGTTGGTGCTATCGAGAGGATTGTCGTCGTCGAGTGGAACAGGCACGGAACAATAGGGGAGTGGTCCGGCAGCTTCCGAAGCTCCAGGTACGTCTTCTTCTGCTGCGTCAGCCTCGGCAGCACAGTCAGCGAAGGAGCGAAGGCCCGCGAAGCTGTCGGTGGGGTTGTCTGTGTTGGCGACGTTGTCCAGGTAATGCTGCAGCGTCAGTCGTTCGTAGAAAATTACATCACGTGACGCCACGGTATTTTTGTCTTGTGTGTCGTGGATTTTCCATGCTTGGAAATGTTTGGCAATGCCGAGGTGTAGTCCCCACCGTGCTCGTTGAGTGAAGCGTCCTGCTCGGGCTGTGTGGGGTCTGTATTGTACCATGCAGCCGAAAACCCGAAGTAATTTTGTGCTGCCCCTTTTTTTGTGTCCACAGCAGGTGCGGTGATGCGTTGTTGGGAAGCGAGGACGAGGATAACAAGTTGTGCAGGTGGACTGCATGGGTCATCGCATCTGGCCACAGTGTGTTGGGTAGTCTCATCCCCAGGAGTAGCTTCAACGTCGTCGTCTGCAAGGTCCGGTTCATTCTTTCTGCGACCCCCTGCTGCTGGTGAGCGTAGGGCAGAGACACCAGGCGTCTGATTCCTCTTTCCGCCAAGTAGTTCCTGAATTGTTGTGACTGGTATTCTAGTGCGCCGTCTGACTGGAAGCTCTTGAGCTTAGTTCCTGATTCTCGTTCAGCGATGGGGAGCCACGTCGTGAAGGCTTTGAAAGCTTGATCGCGCGTCTTGAGGTTGTAGTGCCAGACATATCTTGTTGCTGCATCAATGAACGTGATGACATAGTTGAAGTCTGCTTCGGTGTCGTCTCGAGGCATGTTTAAGATGTCGCTGTAAACTTTTTCCATCGGTGCGTATGCAGGTGCGCTTGGGTTGTGATGTGATGGAAAAGGTTGGTGGGGAAGATCGGCTTCGGGGCACGTGAAGCACCGTGCGCGAGGTTGTCGAAGTTCTTGGCCGCTCATTGTAAGAAGAGCGTTTCGTTCTAACACTTCGGCTTGGATGGTTTGTAGTACTGTGCTGTTTGCAGGGTGCCCGAGGCGTTGGTGCCAGATGTCGTCGGGAGCGCGATGGCCGGGCGAGCGTTGGTACATGTCGGTGTTGGAGAAGAACGCGACGACCGTGGCGGGACTTCGGCAGACTTCTCGTGTGATTGGCATAAGTTGATCTGCTTCGGTTGGCGGTCCTCGGATTGCTGGTGATGGTATTCGGCTGGGTCCCACTGCTGTTACTTCAGGTGATGTCGAGGAAGGGACGCTTGCTGGTACTTGTCTTTCTTGTCGAATGATTACTAACGCTCGTGTTCTCTCTGCTGCAGGTATGGTGTTGGAGTACCAGAAACCATCTGGGGTGAAGTCGGGGTCAAGATCCGGCGGGTGCATCCATGTGGCGAACGACACGATGCCATCGCTGTCGGCAATTCCGCGGTCGGGTACAAAATCCAACACGAAGACGCCCGACTTCAGGAGAGCGCGACCGATGAAAAGACTGCCCTTCCCGTGGTAAAGGCGAAACTCGTTGGAGTCCGAGTCGCATTCCAGGTGAATCCCTTTTGCCATTAACTGGCTGACGCTAAGTAAGTTGTATCCCAAGTTGTCGACGATGAGAACTTTGTTGAGTTGCAGTATAACGTTTGTCTCCATGGATTGCAACAGAACCACTCCTTGTCTGTTTGTTTTCAGGTTCTCGTTGTTGGCGATCGTGATGATGACATCGCGGTTGAGGTGTCGCTCCCGCTGCACGAAGCGCCCGGAAGAACACATGTGTTGGCCGCAACAGCTGTCCAAGAACCAAGTGTTTCGCCCGGTGGGTTCGGCGTTGGCGACTGCAGCGTACGTTGGGTTGACCTGAAGTCCTTGTGAGCGCGGCGGCAACAGTTCTTCTTTGTCTGGAGCGTAAGTGGGTGGTGATCTGGGTGCACAGTTGTCGATGTGTACCATGCAATTGATGATGTTCGGTGTGATTGTGCAGATGAGGAACGCCTCGGCGGGCTTTCTTGAGTGGAAGCGACGTGCGGGTCTACTGGTCGATAAGCTCGGGGGCGTGTGCAGTTGACTTTGGAGTGTCCGGATGTTTGACAGTTGTGGCAGAACGGTGGCAAAATGGTGAGTCCTATGTTGTCGCGTTGATCTTGTTTGCCGCGTCGGTTGTAGTTGTTGTCGTTCCTTCGTTGAGTGTAGAAAACTAACGGCTGCTGTTTCCTTGGTTGTCTTTCTTCAAACAGGTCCATCTCCTGTTGTTCAGCATGGAGCTCGGCGCAGAGGTGCATCTCCGAGATTCGTCCGTGGGCGCGAAGAAGCGAGCGGGTGGTTCTCCATTCTGGCCCGAGCCCAGCGAGGACAAGCGTCACGAAGCTTTCTTCAGTGATTGTTCCTCCGCACCGAAGCAGGCGGTCGCGGAGTGTCTGGCAGCGACTCCTATATTGCATCGCCTTTTCCCTGGTTTTCATCTGTATTGTTGTCAGCTGCTGCATGAGTCTGCTTTGTGTCCCGCTGTCGTTTGCTTGATAGAGACACTTGAGGTGATGCCATGCGAGTTCCGCGGAGTTTCCATAGCTCCGATACGTTCTGATGCTTTGCTGTTCTTGTGGTGACAGGTTCCGCAGGAGAACTGTGTACGCCAGCAGCGACTGATAAGTAAATATTTCTTGCTCCTCTGCAGTGCCATTGTTTGGAAATGGCAGGGACCCGTTGAAGTATCCCAAGAGGTGCGCAGCCTCCATCAGCAGCTCGAACTCAAAGCTCCAGGTAAAGAAGTCGTGTCCGTTGAACGGTGAAGATGTCTGTAGTTTGATTACGTGTGAAAACTGCGCCTGGAGACTTAATATCTCGTTTGGTGTCTGTTGTGATGCAGCTGCTGTTGGTTGGGCACGGGGCGGCATGAACTCGAACATCCCCGGTGAAGAGTGATAAGGCGCAAAGGTAGGCGCTTGATTGTGTTGCCCGAACGATGAGTTGTCGAGGCTCATCGGTGCTAATCCCATGTTTCCTCCGTTGCTCTGTGTTGAATGTGCAGGTGTCCTTGTCTGCTGCTGTTGATCGAAGTGTGACATGAAGCTGAAGAACCTTTCCATAAGGTTCGGGTCCACGCTTGAAGAGGGTGATGGGGTCACCATTTCTGGTGCCCTTCATGTTGTTTCTTGAGCAGCGCCGGTCTCGGATTGTAGTCCTGAAGTGTGCAATCCAGAGTTGCCGGGTTGGGTGTCTTGGCCGCAAGGTGAGCCCGTAGAGATCTTCTTGCCCTTGTTGTCCATGACTTATAATTGATGAAGCTTGTTGAAGTTGTTGAATGTAGATAGAGCGTAGTTGCTGGGAGTTTGGTCTCTGACCAGCTCTCATACCATGTTGGGCTGAAAAATAGCCCTTAGGATCTTTCCAGAGACTAAGTCCAGTTGTAAAAGGAGACTTGAGTAGTGCAGCGGAAGTTGAGTAGTTGAACCCTTGTACTAGTATGTGAGAACAAGTGATTGATTAAAAGAACAAGCATACAGCAATATATAGAAAGTAGGAAAGTAAAGCAGTTGTAGAATACAGTTGAAAGGGCGGTCATCGAGTCGCACATCGACTCGATTGTCGCTTCGGTTACCATCCTTGCAGTTGTAACGGTCGGTCGCAACCTCCGGTTGCAACCCTTCGAGTCCTTTCGTGTTCTTTGTCCACCCCCTTGTGTAACCTCCGTTGACTCGCGTACCCGTTACGATCTTCCTCGAGTGTGGTGTTGCACTTCAGAAACGCTTAAGTCCTTGAGATATTTCCAACAATACGAATCTCATTTACTCTTAAGTTTTGCTCTTGATAACCGAATAACTAATCATTTCTCATGGATATACTTTCGCATTACAAGATGCCTGATAAAATATATAAATATGGGCGTAGTAATAATGTCTATTTGATGTGAATTGCAATTGAGAGACCCTTTAGAAGAATATATGCATAATAATAACTAGTAGTCATATTGTGTTTTATAACATGGATGCCTATCCCTGATGTAGGATGTAGAAAATGCATATGGCTCATGATTCCAAAATGCATAATTTTGGAATTTGATTAATTTCAACACGAGTAGCAGGGTGTTCGTCTTACATACCACCTTAGTAGATCATGTGGCCCGTGCTATACCCCGCAGAGTCCTGCAGAAAACTATTTCCCACTCAATGCGCCACTTGCCGTTCCTGACCCAAACAAAGATGACACCCGATCGCCTCTTGTTCGCACTTTGAGCACACCTTAACCTATTCCCGACGGACGGGACGCCGCCTTTTCCCGCTATGGCCGCTCGTCCCGCTGTCGCCGCAGCAGCGGCAGCAGCAACAGCCCAGGCAACTGCAGAGCGCCTGGTAGAGCAGCTGCAGGGCCTGCTATGGGATTCCGCTCGCAGCGACGGCGCGACGGCGTCCGCAGCACGGTCGCTGGCTGCCGCCGTCACAGGGACTGTAATTGCGGCGTGCGGCGTCGAGCCGCAGCAGCTGCTGTGCGCGCTCTTGGCGCTGGCGGAAGCGGAAGCGGGGAAGGTGGGGGAATGTGCAAGCGCGTGTGTGTTGCGCGCTCTTGCGTGTGCAGCACATAACGTGAATTCCTTTTTTCTTTTCTTTTCTGGTATTTCTTGCCTTTTCCCGCCGGGTCTAGGGTTGTCACAGCGGCGAAACCCGTTTAGGACTGTCGCCTGTCACTGGGCCTGAACGTTAAACCCTGAACCTTCGCAAAGCCCTTGCAGATCTGCATCTGCCTGTCCTAGGGTCCTAGAATTCACAAAGCCCCTCTCTTGCCTATTCCCCCGGGATTCCATGCCCTCCCTATCCCGTATCTCGCCTCTCCCGTTTTTCCACGACCATACAGTCAATCACAAGCAGAGAGGCGAGGGGGATAGAGAAGGAAGGTGGAGAGGAGGAGAGGGGAGAATTGGAGAAGGGCGGAACGAGGGAGTTTGAGGACGGGAGAGGGCTGACACGGGCCTTCATTGCATGCCAGCTGCTGCAGGGTCTGCCGGAAGGTGAGGGGGGAGGCGAGGAGGATGAGGGCTGAGCGGTGCTTGGAGGGAGAAAAGGTGTATGAGAGAAACAGAAGCATTAGGGGATGCGAGGGATTTTGAGGGGGGCTAGGGGATTTGAGGGGGTTTAGAAGTTTTGAGGGGATGTTAGTGGATGTGGGAGGATCAAAGACAATGTAATCACGAAAGGGTTAGGAGAGAGGGCGGGGGGCGGGGGGGGAAGGGGAGACGGAAGGGAGTTCTGCGGGGTTTCAGGAGTTTGGAAAGGAGTAAGGGCGCCATTGTCTATTTCAGCTGTGCTCTTGTTGCTTCACCTTCGCTAAACCCCAACCCTTCAGCGACCCTCCACCTCTTCAGCAACTGTCATTTCCTCAAGGAAGTCCGACCGATCTCGTTTCTGAGCGTATCTATCTCGTCAAATGTATCCCCAAAGCTGTTCAGCACTCTCACTGTCTCTCCCCCCTCCCATCCCATGCACTATAACAACAGCCCAACAGGAGGCCCACCTGCACAACCTCATGTGCCGATGCGTGCTACCATCACTCCACCAGCAGCAGCAGCAGCAGCAGCGATCACAGTCAGACAGCAGCAGCAGTGCGGTGGAGGGGCGTGAAAAGCAAGCCGTGCGTGCTGAATCCGTCCAGGTGGCTTTTTTTTCCTCGTTGTCTTCCTCTTCTTCTTCCTCTTATTCCTCCTCTTCTCGTTCGGTTTCTGCTCCTCTTTGTCTGAAGCAAGCATGGTTGGATGCTTTTTTTAGGTCACCTGTGCCCTTTGGCAGTCCCCTCCCCTCCACCTGCGATTTCATTCACAGCTGCACTGCAATGGGGAACTGAAGCGATGTAGACAGCTTTTGATTAGACCTTCACACAGCATTATTCACCTCAAAGGCCACCTGCTCTTAATCCACATTCTAGCATTTCAATCACACTTCTTCATTCCCCTCCCCACTCCGCCCCTCTCCCCCACCCTCCCCATGTTTCCCTCTCTCCCTTGCTCCCACCATCCCTCTGTCCTCTCCTCTCAGGCGCTGATGGAGTCAGCCGTGGCGTGTCTAGTCAATGGCTCGCACTGGGACTTCGCCCTTCGCACCTTCCTCCCCGCCTGCCTCTCCCCCTTCCACCTACCGCACACACACCCTATTGGTCTCACCCATCTAGCACCCACAAGACCCGACCCTGCACCAAGTAGCTGCTCTCCTGAAGTTCCCTCTTTATTCGATGGCTCTGAGCTGCTTTCTCCAGAACACCTGGACGCTTTAGGCCAGCCCCTAGTCCCACTATGTGCATGCGGCCGAGCTCTTAGTCTCCCGCCGCCCCTTACCGCATCTCTCCTCTCTCGCTTCCTCTCCTCCCTCTCCACCGTCGTCGCAGCACCGCCAACCCCAGCTCAGAGCCATGCCACTGCCACAGACGAGAATACTTCGTCTATCCCACCTCCTCCATTCAAGGACTCTAACAACTCCAATGACTCTTATGACTCTAAGGGTTCCAATGATTCCCAGTCAGCATCGCCTCTACAAACCCTGCAGCATGCTGTGAGGGCCACCCTGTCCGCATCCCTCCCGTTCGTCCTCCTCTCCCCCTCAGCCTCCTCCTCCTCCATCTCCTCCTCGCTCTCTGCCCTGCGTGCCACGGCTCTGGACCGCCTACTGCCCTCTGCTGTGGATGCGCTGGTGCAGGTAGACTACCAGCAGCAGCTGGATGAGCAGCAGCAGCAGCAGCAGCAGCAGCAGCAGCAGCTAGGGGTGGCTGGGGGAGATATGTGGCGTGAGTGGAGGGAAAGCAGGTGTGTTTGGCGTGAGAGACGTGTGTTGCTGCATCTGCGGTCTACCATCACCATTCCCATCAGAACGTTTCCCCAATTCATCTCATCCATTATGCTATCTCCTTCCATCCATGGTTTGAATCGTCATCCGTCCATCCACCTCCTCTGTTCCCAATTCCTCGAGGTCACATGCAGTTTTCTTTTCCTTCTGTTTCTTTTATGTAATTTTTTCGGTTTACTTTACTGAACAGAATGTATCATTTTCTGTCTTACGAGGACCCCCGTTCACTCAGCTTCTACCTCGTCTCCCCTCACCCCTCCCTGACACATCCCCCTTTCATGCACGCACCCAAATACCTGCACCATGCGCGTGCCATGGCAGGGAGCAGTGCGTGCTGGCCGTGTGGCACTCACTGCAGCAACTCATCAGCCCTGCACATTTCCCCTCTGCTGCTGCTGCTGCTTTTTCTTCATCTGCGTTTTCTTCATCTGCTACTGCTGGTACCTCCAAGCCTCCAACCATCACAGAACCTTCAGTCAACACCACCACCTCCTCCTCCCCCTCCCCTTCCTCCCCCTCACCTCCGCTCCTGCCTCTCCCCCCGCCCCTGCTCTCCGAGGTCATCAGCTTGCTGGTCCTCTTCAACCGCCTGCTCCTCCCCCCCATCCTCCTCCCATCCGCTCCAATTCGCCCCGGCTCTCCCCTACCCCGCCCGTCCCCCCGCTTTGACCTGCGGCGCCAGCCGCTCCTCTGGGCGCTGCTCAGACTTGGCCTGGTATGATAAGTGAGACTAGGCTTGAGCATAAATCCGACCTGACCCGACCCGTCTTTGCCCTACCCGATGTCGGGTTCGGGTCGGGTAAAGTTCAGGAAATGTCAACCCGACCCGGGTTTAATAGGTCGGGTACATCTTGACCCGGGTTTAATAGTTCAGGGACGGGTAATAAGCCGACCCGAGGGGTCGGGTCGACCTTCTGCAAATGTCGACCCGAGCCGTCAAAAAGTCGCGTGGGGGCGGGTTACCTGACCCGACCCGACCCGTTGCTCTAGCCTAAGTGAGACAGGTAGCGAGGCAGGCAGGTGGGCAATTGCGTCCCAACGAACCCTGTTCCTCTATATCCAGCCTTCGCCTCTAGTTGACTCATCCCACGCTTCCACACGCCACAACCATCAGCATCCACTCAACCCTTCACTGCTCATCCGGTTAGTTTCACAATGTCTTTCATCCAAAAACCACTCCAACCTCCTCCCTTCCACTCTGTCTCCCCCTCCACGCCTCCCCCCCTCCCCCCTCGCGTCCCCCTTTCTTCCAGGTCTGTAAAGACGGTCTCACCCACAAGCGCGCCTCCTTCCTCCTGCAAGCAGCCCTCCCCCCATGTGATCCCGTCCGCCTCGCAGCACAGCAGCTAAGGGACGCAATAGATGGGCCTGGACAGGGGGCAGAGGGACCAGGGGGGGCAGGCAGGGGAAAGGGGAAGGGGAAGGGGAAGGGGAAAGGAAGGGGGAAGGGGGGAAAGGGGAGCGGGAAGGGGGGGGAGAAGGCAAGGGGAAGGGCGGATGGGGGGCAGAGCATGAAACGGGAGCGGTGGGCGGAGGAGGAGGTGATAGGGATCATCCATGATGGCAGGGGCGGTAGCGGGGCTGCTGGAGGGGGAGAGGGGGCTGAAGATGACACAGAGCAGCAATATCAGCAGCAGCAGGCGGAGGAGGGGGTTGAATGGGCAGAAGGAGCAGCAGGAGAAAGAAGAGAGCGTGGGGAGGAGAAGCAGTGGGAGGAGGAGGCGAGGGAGGTGGTTAGTGGGTTGGAGGAGGTGGTGAGGAGGAGTGGGCGGTGGGAGGCGCTGAGTCTGGTGCTCAACACACTGGACGAGTTCGGCGTGCACCTGTCAGAGGCCGTGTGGGACCCACAGGTTAGTGGTTTTTTAGGCGCCTCAAGAGGTGCTGAGCCCGGTGCTCAACTCAAAACACTGGATGCCGGATGAGTTCGGCGTGCACCTGTCAGAGGCTGTGTGGGAACCACATGTCAGATAAGGTGCTGGCTGTGGCTGGATAGAATACTCTTCTCACTCATAGTGTGTCTCGTCACGGCTGACTGATGCTGGTGGCTCGTGTTTCTCTTCTTAAGCTTTCTCCTGCTCTTCTTCTGCTTTTCTTCTTCCACTTGCTCTTGCTGCTGTTTGCGCAAACACTTGTAGAATCTAGATTCTGTCTCTCATTACTGACTCGACCCCATCCTGCCACCCGTTCTGCACCCTCCAGATGTCTTTCCTTCTCTCCTCCACCACTGCTGATTCAAGCCCGTCGCCTGGCTCCGATTTGCCATCAAAGGACAACTGCTCAGGCTCCTACACTGCTCCCGCTGCTGCTCCCGCTGCTGCTCTCGCTGCTGCTCCCGCTGCTGCTCTCGCTGCTGCTCCCGCTGCTGTTCCCGCCGCTGCTCCTGCCGCAACCGGCACCGCCAGTGCTGCTGCTCCTGCTCCTGCAGTGGATGCGGTTGCTTCTGTGTTCTCATGGGGCGGTGCTATACCCGATGTAGACCTCTCCTTTATCTGCATTGCGTGGACCAGAGGCTTCGCCCACAACAACCCACAAGGCAAGGCACGCCCTCCCCATTCACCACTGTTGTGGCTTGCTTTCTGCCTCCCCTCTCTCCTCTCCCTTCTCCCGCGCATTGAGGTTTCCTCCTCTACTTCGTTCATATTGCCTCGTTCTTCCTGAAACACTCTCCCCAACCCCTCCCCCTCCCCTGGCTTACCCCCGCGCCTGCCCCAGGCATGCACATGCATGCCTCATACACGCATACGTTCCTTGGTACTTATCATCATTCCCCCCTTTCCCGTAATCTCCCCCCCCCCTCCTGCACCGTCAGTTCGCCGGCTGGTCATGTCATCTTTCCTCCGCTGCTTCGGATGCTCCATGGACACTTCTCCTGCCGCACCTAAACACATGCTAGATGCAGAAGCGGAGGCAGAGGCACATGCTGACACACAGCTGCCCAGTGCAGCAGCAGCAGCACAGAAACGAGGAGGAGATACAGGGGGGGATGGAGGGAAGCAGCAGCAGCAGCAGTGGGATGTGGGGCGATTGCCCCTGGAGTTCCTGCTAGATGTCTTCCTGCCTGCTCTCGACAACCCCTCCTGCCATCCAGATTTTGGTACTAGTATACTCTGTCGATCGTCATTCCCACAATACCAAGTGTATTTTGCCTTTTCCGCATTACTCTGGCTTCTTACTTTCTCTTACCATCTTCCCGTTTCGTCTCCCTTTTCGTCTTCCTTCCAGTCAACAATCCTATTAAAGCATCTCAGCATCCCTCGTTCTTAATGCAGAGAAAGGTCTTTCTTGTTACCACTTCTGACTCGTTCTTCACACTGCTGAAAGCTCCTCTCCTACTCAAAGAGAATTCCCGTTGGTGCTGCTCTTCCCTCCTCTTTCTGCAGGCATCAGAGACCGATACTCGTCCACGGTTGCCGAAGCAGCGGCGTGCATCTTTGCCCAGCTCTCTGCTCCTCTCCCAGCAAGGTATGCTGCCGCTGCATGGTTGAGGCGGCATTTGGAAAGGTTCCAGCTGGTAATGCATTATGCAGTGCGAGGATGATACTGAGATGTCTCGTGTGACAAAATCCTTAGGTGATTTTTTATTCGACTCAAAAATCACCTTGCAATGGAAGGACGATACTGGTAGAGGTGTGGGTACAGATAACGGTTACAACTTCTTTCTTGGAAGTGAGCCCAGCTATAGTAGCAGGCATTGGGTTGGGTTAGGCACTGGGAGAGATGCAACTGCAGTGCAATTTCAGGATGAGAGTGGCAATGTGTTATGAAAAGAGAGTGGTGGGTGTAAAGAGGGTGGAATGTGATGTGCTGATAGGAAACTTTCTGTTTGTTTACTTCCCCTATGTGTCGTGGTCCACACTGGTTATCCTAACCCCTATCCCTCTACTTCCCCCATTTCCGTTTCCCTCAGTGCCTGCCTGCTCGTCCTCTCCTCCTCCACCGCCTGCGCTGCACCATGATCGCCATCATGAAATGCCAGTGCATTCGGCCGCATTCCCACCTCTTTCCCCAATCCCTAACCCCTCCGCTTCCCCATTTCCCCCCCTCCTCCCCCCTCCCCAAAGCTCGTCCTCTCCTCCACCGTCTGCTCTCCACCATGATGGCTATCATGCCCAGCCGCATAGGCCACCACATGGCATGTCACATCTTCACCCGTCTTCCTATTCTCCATTTCCCCTGCTTGTCTTCTGTCCCCATTCCCCCTTCCCCCCATTTCCCCCTTCCCCCCTTCCCCCCCATTCCCACCGTTCCCCCTGTTCCCCCTCAGAGCACGCCTGCTCCTCCTCCAGCGCCTGCTGGCCACCATGATCGCCATCATGCCCGGCCGCATAGGCCACATGGTGTGCGCCATGTGCGTCCACGCCACTGCCGCTCCCACCAGCTTCCTTTCTGCCAGACACATGGCTCGAGATGCAGGGATTGGAGGGGGCGGGGAGGGGGCGACGGGGAAAAAGAGCATGGAAGGGGAAGGAGAGGAGGGATCTGCTGTTTGCAGGATGGGTTATTGGAGAGATTTGATTGGGCGGTTGGAGGAGGGAAGGACGGCGGAGGGAGAAGAGTTGGAGGTACAGCTGGCCCAGCTGTTCTGCCGAGTGCTGGAGATGGCTAGGAGACACTTCAACCCTGCCTTCAGACTCAAAGGTAGAGAGATGAGATGACGTATTTATATCCTCTCTCACAGCTCTGTTTTCTGTATTCTGTCGCTGCTCCCCTAGTTTCCTCTTCTTGATCCCCCTTCTTTTATTCCTTGTCTTGGTTTCATTTCTCCCTTCGGTTCGGGGCCGCAGAAATTGGTACACTGCGACGCTACTTCTTGGCAAGCAAATTGCTCTCTTGAACAGCCTTCCCGTTTCCACCCATCCACTCTTCTTCCTCCTGTAGGTGATTCTTTCAGAATTCGAAATTAATCACCATTCCTCTTCCTCCTGCCCTGCATCCCCAACCCGACAGTCTCAACGCACGTGTTTGCAGCGGTGACGGCATCCGTTTCAGCCGCGCACCTCCCCACCCCTCTCCTGCTCCGTCTGCTCTGCATCCTGCCCCACCAAGGACTACTCTCCACAGGCATGCTGCATCCCTTCTTCCCTCACCGTCTTTCCTTACCCTTCCATCCTTTCTCTCCTCTCACCTCCTCTCCTCTCCTACCCTCTGGTCTCCTATGTAGTCCTCCTTCGTCTCCCTCTCCCCCCCCTCCTCACTTTTCCCTACCTCTCCGGTGCTCTCCTTAGTGCTCTCCCTAGTGCCCTCCCTAGTGCTCTCCCTAGTGCTCTCCCTAGTGCTCTCCCTAGTGCTCTCCCTAGTGCTCTCCCTAGTGCTCTCCCTAGTGCTCTCCCTAGTGCTCTCCCTAGTGCTCTCCATTGCTCTCCCTAGTGCTCTCCTTTCATCCTTTCAGCTCTCCTCATCCATTTCCGCGTCCAACATCTCTGTGTATCTTGTAATCTCGTGTGATTCATAATCTGGAATATACCAGTCACAACGTTTGCTGCGAGCCCATTAGCCCCCTCTCCCCTTCCCCCCCCCCCCCCCCCCCCCCCGTCCCCGCACACACCTTCCCTGTTCCCGTAAGATTCTCCTTTTCCCCCTTATAGGGCCATCCCTGCGACTCCGCTTCCTCTAGCCACTTACATTCCTTTGTGTTCTTCTGATTTGACCCCCTAATAATGCAGCATCCGTGTGTTCAACCATTGTGAGCTGGCTGCGTGAACCACAGCCATCGAGCCACGCTCCCAGCATTACCCCCACCCCCACCAGCACCACCAATAGTGTTACCACCGCCACCAATGCTGCCCTTTCTGCGAGTTCCTCTACAAGTGAAGTGGGTAAACCTGTGCGGACCGGCCTCCAGCCAGTTGCCAGCTGCCACCTGGCAGAACGGCTAATCATTGCACTGCGGCTGTTTGTCTCGGGAAAAGCTGCTGGGGAGGAAGAGCTGCTCCTGCAATCGCGAGAAGACCTGGACGAGCGTGAAGGGCCGGGAGAAGAAGAAGAGTATGGAGGGAGGGAAGGGGAGGAAAGGAAGGAGAGGCAAGAGGAGGGGAAGGAGAGTTCGTTAGAAGGAGAAGAGGGGAGATATGCTGCTCTATCTACATCGCCGTCGTCATCGTTGGAAGTGATATCCGATAATGACCTGGCATCATGGCACGCTGCCTCTGCGCGGTGCTGTCTGGTGCTGCTAGCCGCCATGCCTTCTCCTGACGTGCTTGCAGCAGCAGCGAAGGTGAGATGAGATGTCTGTTTTTGAGGCGCCTCAAAAAAAGACTCCTCACAGTGAGATGAGATGTGCGGCTGAACGGCAACGTGCTTTTACGATGCCGTGTGCTGTTAATCCAAGATGTGTCTACCTACCTACCATGGCAGGTGAATTGTGGTCCCTCCAATGCCCCCCTCCACCCTGCCTGCTTTCCTCCTTCTCTGCTTCTCTAATCTCATTTCCACAGGATCTCCTGGGACTGTTCTCAGATCTCCTAGCCTCTCAGATGCCACCAGGTGGCAGGCAGAGGCTGCTCGTTCTGCTACAGGCGCTGCTGGAGCAGCATGATGTGGCAGAACGCTATTGGAAGGGCTGTGTTAAAGCTGGTGACAATAGCAGTGACAGCCGCACCATCAGCAACAGCAGTAGTAGCAGCAGTGGCATGAGTGGTGCATGCGCAAAGCAGATGATGCTGGTTTCAAGAAACTCCTTGCTGGAGCTTCTTTATCAGGCCATGGTACGGCTCCCGTTTCCTCCGCTTTAATTCAACTCGCACTACACGTGGCTGTGGCTTCGTGTCTTTCTACAGATCTGAGCGGATTCCTTCACCACAGTATCTTGTTCATTTTGCACTGCCTCAGTAAGATCTCTCTCGCGACAGAACTGCAGTTGACAGTGCAAGCAAGCAAATTCCAAGGCACCAATCTTATTTCTTTCTTTCTTTCTTCTGCTCTCTCTCGTTGACTTTCCCCTCAAATCCCCTTCTGTGGTACTGGCTGTGGGTGTGGTTCCCACGCCCAGCCACTGTTGGCTGCCTTGGCCTCCCAGGAGCAGTTTCTCTTCTCCAGCGCAGATCTACTGGCCTCTCTCGCCGGTTCCTCTGCGCCTCTACCGGCTGCGGTGCGGGGGAAGTTAGGAGGGCCCAGCCTGCGCCGCCTGCCTCTCACCACTGCCGCTGCCGTGCTGCGGGCGGTCAGTGCTGCCTGCTCCTGCTGCTCTCTGCTTTGTGATAAATGAGAGAACTTGATCATTCTGTACCTTCATAAAGCAGAACCAACACACCTTCATAGGCACTCGGTCACTCGGTACGCACCTTCGGATGCACGTGCTTTTGTTTCAAGTTGGGCCAATACCACCACCTACTGCCCTCCGCTCGCCTTTCTTATCCTCTTGTCATTCTCATCCTCCTTCTCCGCTCCTTTTCACCCCCCGGATCACCTAGCTCCGTCCCTGCAGGTGGGAGCAGCCTCGGGTGCTATATCGCCTCACAAGTCAGGACTTCCCTTGCCCCATGTCACAACCTCAGGTTAATATGGTTCGCTGCTTCGCAGCCTCTGCTAGATGGGCGCACATGCACATGCAGACAGAGAGGGACATGGAAGCACTGGAAGGAGGAGCAGGCGTGGATCCCTTGGCAGGTGACCTGTCGTGGCTGCTGGGTGTAGAGGAGAGGCTTCGTGGCTGGGTGGCTGGCACTGTTGGGAGCGTGCTGGCTCTGTGCCACGAGAGGAAGTGGCCGCACGCTGAGGTTAGTGTGGTGTGGCTTCCTTTTTGAATCAATCAATGCGAATCACATCGTTTGGAAATGCTGCGCTTTGCATGGGTCTCCCTGGATATGCGTCTGATCTGCGCCATGTGTCATGTGCCGTTTACCATGCACTCTGCATCCTCCATGTGTCATGTGCCGTTTACCATGCACTCTGCATCCTCCATGTGTCATGTGCCGTTTACCATGCAGTCTGCATCCTCCATGTGTCATGTGCCGTTTACCATGCACTCTGCATCCTCCATGTGTTGACTTGACAATTGTAAGTCCGCTGCAGCCTTGACTGTTTTCATCCATTGCATTTCCCCGCAACCACAATCGATGCTCCCTCCATTTCACCACCAGCAGCATCTCAACCACCAACTCCACCAACATCTACACCTTCACACCATCACACCATGACACCATCACCAGGTAGAAGCGGAGCTACTACTAGCCTGTCTGGAGCTGCTGCAGCTCGTGTGCCATCTGCTCGCAGTAGGCACCACGACAGCAAGTTTTGGAATCTCAAAAGACGTTTATTCCCACCACGACACCGTCTCACCAGGTGGAGGCCGAGCTCCTACTCGCCTGTTTGGAGCTCCTGCAGCCCGTGTGCCACCTGCTCGCAGTAGGCGCCACGGCAGCACTGCCAACACTGCAGCAGCGACAGCACACACAGACACTGCAGGAAAGCACAGGAGAGAGCGGAGAGTTGCAAGGGGAAGGCAGAGGGTCAGGAGGGGAAGGGCTGCTGTGGTTGTTGGAAGCAGTGGTGGCGGTGGCAGGGGCAGCCAGCAGGAGCGGGGGGGGCGTGGCTCGCAGCAGGATGGCGCGGCTGCTGGAGCTCAAGTGGGACTGCTTGGACGGGCTGCTCTGCGCCTTGCTGCTTGAGAGCAGCTCTTTTGGCGGGGCGGTGTTGGGGTGCAGGGAGGAGAGGGAGAGGATGGTTGCGCTGCAGCAGGCGCTGCTTGAGGATGCTGCTGATAGGTGGGCAGCCGTAATGGCGCTTGCTTGTGCTGGTGTTGCTGCTGCTGATGCCACGTGCACTGTGATTCCACGTGCACTGTGATGCCACGTGCACTGTGATGCCATCTCACCAGCACTTGGCTAGCTTTCTCCAAAACTCGCCCCTCCACAAAACCCTTCCTCCATTACCACTTTGCACTCTTTGATTCTCTGTGTCCTGGCACATGTGCCAGCCTGCTTGCTGCCTTTTCGCCCTCTACCATCTTCACCGCCTATGTCCCCATCTACCCCCCACTCCACTATGCTCTTCCCCACTCCCCCTTGCCCTCAACTTCCTGCGTCCAGCCTTGAGGGTCTAGAGGAGCAGCAGTTCCTCCCTCTCTTCCGCGCCCTCCGCTCCCTCCTCTCCCTGCATGTGCTCGATACTTTCCACTCCGACCGCCAAAGAATTGAGGTCAGTGGAAGTCCAATCTGGTGGAGTGCGGTGCTGGGAGGTGGTTTGCAGGTTGACTAAGCAGGCATCTTTCCAGGCGCCAGAAAGGCCTTGTTCCACTTCAGTATGCCCTTTCTTTCCCTCATCACCCTGTTCTCCCCCTCTACCCTCCCCACTCCTCTACCCTCCCCACTCCTCTACCCTCCCCACTCCTCTACCCTCCCCACTCCTCTACCCTCCCCACTCCTCTACCCTCCCCACTCCTCTACCCTCCCCACTCCTCTACCCTCCCCACTCCTCTACCCTCCCCACTCCTCTACCCTCCCCAATCCTCTACCCTCCCCACTCCTCTACCCTCCCCACTCCTCTACCCTCCCCACTCCTCTACCCTCCCCACTCCTCTACCCTCCCCACTCCTCTACCCTCCCCACTCCTCTACCCTCCCCACTCCTCTACCCTCCCCACTCCTCTACCCTCCCCACTCCTCTACCCTCCCCACTCCTCTACCCTCCCCACTCCTCTACCCTCCCCACTCCTCTACCCTCCCCACTCCTCTCCCCTCATCTCCTCTCCACTCATCCCCCTTCCTCCCCATCTCTCCTCCTCTCCTCCCCGTCACCTTCAGCCCTCGTGGCGGCTAGTGACAGCAGTATAAAGGGCAGTGGACGACGGGCAGAAGCGGCGAGTGGCACCTCTAGCAGCCGTCCTTTCGGCTTCCTCTCCTTTAAAGCGCCTTTTTAACCCTCTTCCCTATCAGGTAGTATGGCGGCTAGTTACAGCGGCATGGAGGGCGGTGGAGGACGGGCAGAAGCGGCGAGTGGCGCCTGTAGCAGCGTTCCTCTCGGCTGTCTTCCACCCTGCCGTCTTCGCCCTGCGGTGCATGCACTCCTTCGCCCTGCACTCCACTGATGGTGGCAGTGATAGTGGCCGTGACGCACCCAGAAATGATGATAACGCTGGTGGTGATAGCGAGGGTGATGGTGATGTTGATGGTAGTGTCGAGAATCTGGCTTCTTCTGGCATTGAGCCTCCTCTGCAGTGGGTACGTTCCCTCAGTCGCCAATACAAATTCATCGCGCTCTTTGCGTCGTTTCTCACGCCACTGGAAAGCCCAATTCCTCGCGCGCCTCTTCCAGTATCCCCCATCATCCTTGAATCATCCTCATTTTCAACGGCCAATTTCCTGCCCATATGCATCACCGGATCGTCCTTCTCCCCTTCTCCCCCTCTTCCCCTCTCCCCCCCTCCCGCTCAACCCCCCCGCATTTGATCCCCTCTCCGTGCATCAGATGGTGGCGCGCCTCATGACACTGGCCGAGCGCAGTCCGCGCACGATGCGGCTCTTCTCCATGCACTTCACATCGCTGCTCACCGCCTTCCCCCACGCCGCCTCCTGCTACCTCCCCACGCTCAAGGCTCTCACTCTGCATGGCGCAGGTGTGTGCGCGGGTGGTTGTAGGTAGGTATATGCCACGTGCTATGAGCCTAGTTCTGAGGTGCCGTAAAACTACACACGCAAGGCACCCACTCTGCATGGGTGGCGGTGGTGCATGCGCGGTGGTGGTGCATGGGTGGTGGTGGTGCATGGGTGGTGGTGGTGCATGGGTGGTGGTGGTGCATGGGTGGTGTTGGCGGTGCATGGGTGGTGGTGGTGCATGGGTGGTGTGGTTGTTGTGCCTAAGCGGTTGATAATGGGCTCATGGCCAGTACAGAACAGTATGCATGCTACGACGGAATTGGACGCAGCAGCAGCATCACAAGAGTAGTCCGCTCTAAGTAATCTGTTCATTCACCCACTTCCAACAATCTGTTATTTCCATTTTTCCAACCCGCTCACTTTTTTGTCATGTGCCAATTTGTATAACCAGGAGCTGACTTTTGAGTCGACTCAAAAGTTGCCATGTGCCAATTTGTATAACCAGGAAGGCTGATCAGGAGGTTCTGAAGAGTGCAGCTGCATGGATATCATCTGACCATTCTTGGGAGATACCACAAAGCCAGTCTTCCTCACCACCTTCTGCCACCTTCTACCACCTGTGCCACCTTTCCCCCATTGTGTCTGACCTTTCCCACCCACTTCCTTTTCCCCCACAGATGCGGTGGACGGGAGCTGGACGGGGAGGTGGTGGAAGCGAGAGAGAGTGGAGCGGTGCGGTCGCATTCTCGCCTCCACTCTGAATCTTGCTGTGTGTCTCATTGCTGCTGGCCCCCCACACCACAGAAGCGGTCGATGAGGAGTTGGACGGGGAGGTGGCAGAGAGTGCAGCAGCATCGCTCGAGTACTGCCACCTGGCCAGGAGCCACGACCCGGAGCTTGCACATGTGAGGGTTGCTTGTGGTCACGGTCACCCTGTGTGTTCGGTTTGATGTCTGGTATTTTTTACCTTAAAGCATCTCACCAGTACAGCCACCTGCCTAGAAGCCACGACGACCCAGGGCTCTGGGCACATGTGAGGATGTTTTTCTCAACCACAGCAATTGCACCCAACACAGTGCGTGCATTCGTGCGTGCGTGCGTGCGTGCGTGCGTGCGCGCGTGCGTGCGGGCTTGTGGGCGGGCGGGCGGGCGGGCGGGCTGCGGGCGGGCGTGCGTGCGGGCGGGCGGTCCGTGCGTGCGGTCCGTGCGTGCGGTCCGTGCGTCCGTGCGGTCCGTGCGTGCGGTCCGTGCGTGTGGTCCGTGCGTCCGTGCGTCTGTGCGTGCGTACATGCGTGCGTGCGTGCGTGCGTGCGTGCGTGCGTCTGTGCGTGTGTGCGTGCGTGCGTGCGTGCGTACGTGCGTGCGTCCGTGCGTCCGCGTCCGTGCGTCCGTCCGTCCGTTTTGGCATGAATCAAGTCCCTCTGCTCTGCATGCTTCACTCCTCCTCCCTCAGGTGTTCACCAATTCCGTAATGTTTGCTCGAGATGACCTTTGAGTTGACTGAAAAGCCCCCTCTCCTCTGCCTCCATCACCCCCCCTCCCACAGGTGTTCACCAATTCCGAGATGTTTGCTCGAGTGTGTGTCGCCATCATGGCACACCACTTCGCAACACTCTACCTGCCACCTGTGCCTGCTGCTTCCGCCCCTTCTGCTTCATCTGCTGCATCTGCTACCTCGGCTCCTCATGCCACGTCTTCTGACAAGCGTCACGCCATCCGCAGCTGCCAGCGGCTTCTCATGCTTCTCCTCGAATCTGCGGTATTCGCGTTCACCACCGCACCCTAGAACCCCTGTCTCGCACCCTGTTCTCAGTACTGCTCGTCCCTGCATTCAAGTATGCGTGTGAATGAGCTCAGAGGTCGTCCTGCCCCTGGGAGTTTTTAAAGACTTCTTTTTTTTCCTGCAAGGGTTTCACATCTTCGACTGTCAACTGCCACGTGTGTGCTTCGGCAGACGTGGCACGTCGCGGCAATGCCTAATTGGTGCATGCTCTCTTTACCGTTCCCTAGATGCGATTAGAAGGCCAGGCCAGGGCATCCACTTTCTTGCAATGACGCGCGCTGCTGGATTCTCTGCTGTGCCTTGCCACCAGGTGACGGATGTTGAGCTCTCCAAGGAGCTGTACAAGAAGCACAGTGCGGTGAGAGGGGGTTGTGCTGGTGGGAGGGGTACTGCTGGTGTCTGAAGGCAGAGTTGAGGGGTTTTGTTTCTGAGGCGCCTCAAAAGCAGAGTTGGGTGGTGTTGTTGTGGCTGCTGACTTGATTGGTGTATGCTGTCATACATGGCTCATGGCGGCATCTACAATGCAACACCACAAAGGGTGGGTGGCTGGTTGGATGTTCTCATTCTCCTTGCGACCGTCCCATTCTTTCGACAAGTTTGACTCTGAACCTCGTCAATCTCTGCTTGCTTTCACTATCCGACATGTCGCATGGGCTTCGGCGTTCCGTTGCATCAACATGGACTCTCACTCGCTTTGTCATGCAGTCTGTGCACACCTCACTGCTCGACCATGCACCTTGCAGCAACCCTTTCTATCACCCTGCTTGCCCTCCTCCCTCTCATTGCTGGCTCTATTGCCCCTCTCTCTTTCTCCTCTTCCCCGTGGTCTCAGATTCACAGGAGGAAGGTTCGAGTGTGGCAGATGCTCGCTCTGCTCTCCCCGTTCGTATCCCATGACATGTTACCGGCTGTCACTGCGCTCTATGCGAGGGCTGTAGAGGTGCGGTTTTGAGGCGTCGCAAAACTAGACTTCTATCATGCTCGTTCTGCTCTCCCCTTTCGTATCCCGCGACATGCTACCGGTTGTCACTGCGCTCTATGCCAAGGCTGTAGAGGTGCATCCAATGCTGCTATGCTCCTCTTTCCTTCTGATCATCCTCCTTCTTACCCTTTCCTCTTCTGTTTGCCCCTTTCTCCCCCTTCTCCTCCCCCCTCCCACCCTCCACCTGTGGAACTCAGACCCTTTCCCCCTCCCCACACACCCCTTTCCCCCTCCCCACACACCCCTTTCCCCCTCCCCACACACCCCTTTCCCCCTCCCCACACACCCCTTTCCCCCTCCCCACACACCCCTTTCCCCCTCCCCACACACCCCTTTCCCCCTCCCCACACACCCCTTTCCATGTCTGCTTTTAATTCGGCTCAGAACCGTGACTCCGTCCTTCTTCCACCCCTTCCTCCCTCCCCTCGTTCTCCTTGATTGTTCTGGCTCTCCTTGCTTTCGCCCGTCTGTCCGCCTATCTGCTTCTGCTTCGTCGTCTTCCTCTTCTTCTTGTTCTATCTAACCCCTTGCATACTCATCCGAATCATTTGCCCCATCTTGTCCCCATGCCTGTTTCACTGCAGCGCAACAACATGCCATCAGTGCGGCAGTACGTGGAGATATTCGGCGTGCTCCTGTTTCTGGGCTTCCCACACCTGGTATGCCCCCGCCCCCCTTTCCCCCTCTCGCCCCCCCTCTCTCACTTCTATGTTTCTCTCGCCGTTCGGCTCTTTCTTCCTTTCCCTCTCTTCTTCACACTCACACACGTGCGCGCGCGCGCGCGTGCACGCTCCACGCACACGCACGCACGCTCCACGCACACGCACGCGCGCGCGCGCGCGCACACACACACACACACACACACATACACAGACACAAACGCGCTGTCTGTTTCCTCTTCCACTCCCCTGGCTCCCCAACAGGTGGATGACCACCTCTTAAACCATCTCCAGAACGCCAACCTCAAGACACAGGTACCGTCCACAGCCCCCCCTACCCAATCACATCCCCCCTAGTTTCCCTCAGATTTGCTTCCTCTATCCCTCACTCACTCTCCACCATACAGCCCCATGTGTTATGCGTGCTCATTGCTGTCTGTCTCATTTTTTCCACTCCACCTTTCACCCTTGCAGTCATCCCTTCCCTCCTTCTGCACTTCCCTTTGCCCAGTCCCTCCCGTGTCTTCTTTCAACGCTCTATCCCTCATTGCTGCACGTGTTTCCCTTCTACAGGTCCAGGCATCAGACGTGCTCATCGCTGCATGTCTGATGCCCCACACCAAGGACCCCTCGCTTCCTTGCACTCACTCTCTTGCGCTTCTTTCGACTCTCTCTATCCCTCACTGCTCCCCACGCCGAGGCTTCCTACATGCTCATTGCTACGTGTCTCATACCCCACATCAAGGACCCTTCACTCGCTCCCTTGAACTCATTCCCATGTGCGTCTGTGGACCCTCTATCCCGTCTCCATCTTTCCCCCCTCCCCAGGCCCAGGCATCATACGTGCTCATTGCTGCATGTCTCATACTTCACACCAAGGACCCCTCCCTCCAGCTGCTACAGCTGCACCAGCTGCTGCCGGCAACCCTCCCCTACATCACCAGCCACCACCACAACTTACGTACCTTCACCCAGGTGCTCCTGCACCGCGTTCTTAAGCATTTCCCCCAGCTAACAGGCAGCAGCAATGCTGACAGCGGCATTACAGGGAGCAGTAAGGCAGGCAGCAGCGGGCAAGAGGAGTGTGTGTCAAAGGATGGAGGGAGCAGTGATCCAGATGCATCTGTGGTTCCTTCGTCCAGCATTGTCAGCGGCAGCAAGGTGTTCGGGGCCATCTGGACGTATCTCAACACCAACACCGACTGCGCTCGGTGCGTTACCCCTCGATGGTCTCGCAGACTCTTTTTTATTTTGAATTTGCCTTTTGCTGCCAGTAGGTAGGTTGGAAATCGGGAGTGAGTGTGCATTGGCATCGCCATTGCCACATCACAAGCAGTCCCATGTTTGAAGAGCGGCTTCGATCTCCTAAGCTTTCCAAAGCGAGCCGCGCACCTTGTTGTCGCATATGAAAAGAATTGTTTACCGCTCCCTCAATCCCATTCTCGTCCTCCTACTCCCAACAACACTCCACGTGCGTGTTGATCGTTAATTTGCCGCCCTTTTAACCCAAGCGATCTCTGGGGTCATCTCAAGATTCGCTTTTGTAACGCCCTTCTTGCCCCCGTTTTTCTCCTCCCTTCCACTCCCACCAACAGGTGTGCACGTGGCTGTGGAACCCCTTCCCACTACCTCCGTTTCCACGTCCCTTCCTCTCCCACCTCTCTTCCATACCCCCCTTCCCACCCTCCTTCCACTTCCGACAAGAGAGTGCGCATAGCAATCCACCGGTACTTAGACACCTTTGAACCGTAAGCGGCTTTGGAGACGTCTGAAGAAACGTTCTCTCTCTCGCCTTGTCTCCCCTCCCCTTCCACTCCCACCATCAGAGTGCGGGTGGCCGTTGACCGTTACTTTGACACATTTGACCCGGAAGCAGCAGCCACACCGCGGGGCATGTTTCTGCGCTCCTTCTTCGACGGCCAGCAGGAGCACCCCGGCAGGCCAGCAGAGGAGGTAACTGGGTGCAGGGTGCAGGGTGTAGTGCTGTGCAGATAGTGTGATTGGCAGTCAGAGGAGGTGAGAAGATGTGACCCAATTGGAGGGTCAAGGTTTTTGGGTTTGAGTGCAAGCAATAACTAGCTGTAGCGCACGGTAGGGGTGAATGTCTGTAGAGATGACCAGAAGTCGAGTAGTTGTGCCTCACAAGGCGAACTTTGTAGCATGCGCATACTTAATTAGTTTCAAAGCGCCCCACACTCCGTGTTCCTGCAGCGTGGCACACTGTTCCTCTGATTGCAGCACAACAAGCTACTACATCTATCTTTTGATGATATCCTCGTTTCCTGCTGTGTTGTGTGTGATTCGCTGCCAGGGAGAGGGTACTTTTTAGAGAGAGAAAAAGATCTGACTTCCCTCAAATGCCGTTGCATCCACCTCATCCCGTCTAATCCCGTCCCATCCCATCTTATCCCATCCCATTGCATCACGGGGCATTCATCCTTGCTATGTTCCTATCAGGTGGCTGGGCCTCATCCATTTGAGTGCGCACCCACGGCATCTTATGCCTCGGCTGCTCTGCTGAATCTGGTCCGCTGCCTTTGGGACCTCCACTTTCCATCTAATCCCACATAATCTCATCAAATCCCACCGAACCCCATCCGATCCCATCTCCCATCCCATTGCATCACGCGGCTTACTTCCTTGCTATGTTCCTATCAGGTGGCTGGGTCTCATCCATTTGAGTGTGCACCCACTGCTGTTCTGGACCGTGTGACAAGCTTCCTCAATGTGAGCTGCCAATCTCCTCCCTATGACATGGCCCATACTTTTAAATAATGAATGACAAATTGTTTTTACGTCTGAGATGTCAACTTGCCAGCTGCTGCCGGTTCCCTGCTATTGCTGGTCCCTCCTGTTGTTCTCTTTTGCATTCTTCCTCTGTGCCATCTGCTTTTCTGTCCGCTGATCTTTCCTTGGTCCAACATTTCTGCTCGCGCTTGCAACTCTGTTCTCTCCTATCCCTCCCTCCCCTTCCACTGCCTCTGTCATCATCATTGACTTCCTCAATATGTGGCATGCTGCACTCAAGTCTCTCCTCTATCCCGCCTTACCAGTTCTCGTCGTCCACTGCTCTGCCACTCAATCGTCTCCCCTCCCCTCTCCCACTGGCTGCCAATCACGCCCTGCCTTGCCTGGCCACATGTCAGTCTGCTCGTGAGTCACTACGGGCTGCCATGGCAGCAGATGCAGCGGTGCTGGGCCTTGGAGCGAGCCAGCAGTGCAGCAGAGTCGATTTCTGAGGCGCCTAAACAGTCTTCCCCTCTCCCACCCGCCCTGTGTGCCGACCTCACCCTTGCTGCGCTTGTGGCAGTTCGCTCGGGAGTCGCTACGAGCGTCTATGGCAGCAGATGCAGCAGTGCTGGGCCTTGGAGCCAGTGCAGCAGCGGCAGGGCCCAGAGGGGATGGGGAAGAGGAAGCGGGAGGAGGAGGAGGCGGCGGTGGAGGAGGCACAGAAGACAGCAGTGGTGCGGGTGGGCCAGGAGGTGAGCAGAGAGCAGCAGCGGCAGCAGCTGCTGCAGGAGGGGGAGGGGTACGGGGGCAGGCGGACTTTCAGAGGAAGAAGCGGGTGCTGGATGCAGGGCAGGGAGCGGCAGGGCAGCCACAGCAGCAGCACCAGCAGCAGCAGCAGAGGCAGGGACAGGAACCGCAATCCACCCTTCTCCAAGGTGAGATCTTGAGTTGCTTTTTTAGAATTCTTAAAATCCAACTCCTCGTCAAGGTAAGATCTTCCTGTCAGTGTGTATTAAAATCACATTGCATGTGTATTATGTCGGTGGCAGTTTGAGCATCTTCCCGTCCTTATCTTCCACTTCCCTAACTCCCTTCCGCTCCTCGTCTCTTTCCCCCCAACCCCGTTTCCCCCAACCCCCGTGTCCCCCCACCGCCACCCACAGCGCTGCGCATGCGGTGGGAGTCGGAGCAGCGGCAGGGCGAGGAGGCGGAGGAGGAGGCGCTGCTGAGAGGGCACGTGGAGGGCAGGGAGGGGCTGCTGCAGGCGGCCACGGGCTCCCGGCAGGACATCATTGTGGTCGCGTCTCTCATCGGCCGCATCCCCAACCTCGCTGGGCTCGCCCGCACATGCGAGGTGTGTGGTCTTTACTGATGGTGTTCTTGAGGGGTGCCTCACATTCAGACTGCTGCAGGCCGCCACAGGCACCTGGCACCTGGCACCTGGCACCTGGCACCCGGCACCCGGCACCCGGCAGGACATCATCGCAGTGGAGTCGCCCATCGGCCGCATTCCCAACCTCGTCGGGCTCGCCCGCACATGTCCGCAGGCTCTTGAGTGATTTTTACGAGGTTGCGCAGAGGACGATCTGCCAAGAGAGGCATTTTGTCTCGAAGTGCCCCTGTTGTGAATGACCCTTGTCGGTGCACGGATGGCCAGGAGTGATTGAAACAGCCCACATCTCATGCCTTCCCTCTGCTTTGAGCCTCTCGCCTCTGCTCTAGGCGCCCCTGGAGTAATATATATGTCTCCCATCCAGCATTTTCGTATAAAACTACTTTGCTGCCAACCACTCTTCGCTCTTTCCTGCCTTGCTCATGCGACCTTGTGTTCATATGCCCATGCGACCTTGTGTTCATATGCCCAAGCGACCTCTTCCCACCTCTTCCCCTGCCCCCTCCCCCTGCCAGGTGTTCAAGGCCAACCGCCTGGTCCTCCAGGACACATCAGTGGTCAACGACAGGCAGTTCCAGCTCATCAGGTGGGTTGGGTCAAAGTGTCCATGACCCTGCCAGATCTAGCGATCAGAATAGGCACAGCTGGCAGGGCTGTCTCAGCGGCTTGCTGCCATCGAACCTACTCAAGTAGAAATGACAGGCAGTTCCACCTCATCAGCTCTCTCTACTTTTTCCCCTCCCTTCACCCTTAACCCTCCCACACCCCTCCCCCTGCCTCACTCCCTCTTCACCCCCTCCTCTCCTATTCCTGGTGCAGTGTCACAGCGGAGAAGTGGGTTCCAATAGAGGAGGTTCCGATACAAGCACTGGCGAGCTATTTGGAGCAGCGGCGGGCGCAGGGATACACGCTGGTGGCTCTGGAGCAGACAGCAAACAGTGTGCCCATCCATACCTATGATTTCCCTGCCAAAACGGTGAGCAGCATGTGATTTTCAAAGGTGCATCAGATGTGTTTCGAGGCTATATACGCGCCTCCCTCTGTCTTTACCATGGTCATTATGCTAACATGTAGCATGCTTTTCCAATGGTTTTTGTCCTATCAGGTGCTCTTGCTTGGTCGGGAGAAAGAGGGTGTGCCAGCGGATCTTATCCGCCTTTTGGATGTGTGTGTGGAGATTCCTCAGCTCGGCCTCATCCGCTCCCTCAACGTCCATGTCAGTGCTGCAATTGCAACTTGGGAGTACACTAGGCGCCATTTACCTTGATTCCCCCAAATTGAGCCATCAATGCCAGACTATACGCTTTAAGGGTTGAAGTAGGGGTGTAGATGGGATATCATCTTCCTTATTCAAGTTCACCTGGTATACCTCACGTTCTAGCATTGTTGCTAACCGAAAATCGTAGCTGTAACGAAACTTGCGTCTCTGTCACACGCATCGTAAAACTGCAGTGGATCGTGGAAGGTGCTTGCCTGTTTGCGTGACAAAGCCGCAGTGGTCACGTCTGTGTTGGGTGTTCTGGCCAACAGGGTGATGCCGCGTGGCAATGCCGAGTGGAACTTGCGTGTTCTTGGCGAATTTGAGGAAGGCGAGGGGAAGCACAAGTACAGTGAAGGTTAGCACAACAGATCACTTATAAGAAGTACCGCCACATAGCTTGTCGTACCTTATAGTGGAGTAGTAGTCCCTGGTACTGCGTATTCCAAACCAGGAGTGGATCCTTGGCCACCGATCAGGATTCACAGTTGCGACACTTAGCCGTGACGCGTTCCTTAAATCTCGGATCTCGAATCTCAAATGGCCTTCTTCTCTGCACCGTCGTCGCTTTCCCGCTCAGCGCGTCGTTCTCTCGCTCCATGGATTCCCGGAGAAGTTTTCCGTTGGAAATCCCCATGGCTCATCGCAGCGGTGCTTCTGCTCCTTAATTCCGCGTGCCCCACGTTCTCGTACGACTATCAGCAGCACCAGCAGCAGCAGTACGGGCAGCATCAGCACTATGACCAGCAGCAGCAGTATTACCAGCAGGAGCAGCAGCAGCAGCAGCAGCAGCAGGGTGCGGGTGGGTACAGAGCGGTGCTGCTGGAAGACGTGAAGGCGCTGACGTTGCGAAAGGGTGCGATGACGACAGCACGCCGTGTGGCTCCTGTCCCGCAGCTTAGCTGCATCGCTGGATGCGACTTCCAACCAGGTAAGCTTCGATCCTCTTCGTCGTCATCAGCTTTATTCTACTACAGTATTTTCCACCAATTACTGCAGCACCATTTTCATCGCCTCTTATAACAGGTTTTGTGTCAGAGACGGGATCACAACTCAAGGCATGTGGGAATTTTCCCTCACCTTCCGCCGACCCCCCTGCCACACTCGCATACCCTCACCCTCTCTCCCTTCTTCCTGGTGTAACCATGTATCACGCCCTTCTCACCTCACCTCCCGCCTGCGTGTCGTACACGCCCCCCCCCCCCCCCCCCCCAACTCCCACGCTCTCCCCCTCCCCCCTCGCCTCTTCGTCATTTGCTCTTCCCGCTCCCAACCCTGCTCTCCCCCCCACCCCTTTCCACTCCACCCACTCCTTCCCCCCTAACCGCTCTCCTCTCCTCCTCCCCCCTCCCCTTTCTTGATTCCCCGCTTCTTCCCTTGATTCCCCCACCCTCCCCTTTTTTCCCCAGGCGTGCCGCAGTGTGTGAACGAGGGTCGGACGAAGGCTATCCTTTGATCTTCTTATCACCCTATCCCCCCTTTTCCCGCAGACGTGGTGCAGTGTGTGAACGTGGGGTCGGACGGGGTGGCGGTGCAGTGGCGCTGCGAGGCGGAGCTGCCGTCGCACCTCAAGTTCGGCCTCACGCAGGTGTCCTGTGAGGTATGCTTTCCCTCCCTCACGCAGGTGTCCGGCGAGGTATGCCTTCCCTCCTCTCACCCAGGTGTCCTGCGAGGTATGCCTCCCCTCGCCCACCCACGTCGTTCCCATCACGCCTTCTGCTGCTTTTTCTGTGCAAATTTTCCAAGTGGCTTGGTCTGGTGCTCAAACGCACAGACAGATTCAAGATGGAGCGAGTATATTATGACAACAATCACGAATCGAAGTAGCTGCCTGATTCCATCATGGAGCTCCTCCTGGTTCCCGAGACAAACCGTTGCCCTTCCCATGGCTTTCCATCATGTCGTTTCGCATTCCTTCCTCCCGCCTGTTCAGCTCCACATCATTTCTCTCCCGTGGGCTCGGTCTCTTCCATCCGCACCCCCTCTCTTCCTTCCCTCCCCCCTCTCTTGCGTGGTGGTTCCTTCCTCTTTCTCCACCCACCCCCTTCCCCCCGTCTCTCAGGGCTTCGACTACCCGGATGACCCGCGCATCCTGCATGGCAGCTGTGGCCTGCAGTACTCCCTCGTTCCAGTTCCAGGTACATACACGTTATGAGACGTCTCAAAACACGGCATGCAGTGGTCCCTCGTGGCTGTTCCAGGTACATATGCGTGCAAGGAGCAATCGAATGTCATACCTCCTTTGCCCCCCCGACGCTTCCCCTGATCCCACCATCCCATGTTTCTCAACGTCACGCTGAGTGAATCCCGTTCCAGTCTTTGTGCTCATTCATGTTCACTTCTCCGTTGTTTGTCCGCTCTTTGCGTGCGCGACTGGGCGGATGTGGTTCTTTCTGAAAATGGTGTTGCTTAGGATTTTCTCTTCTGCTCCAGCACGTTCTCAACCCCCATCTCCCCCCTGCACATCTGCCGCTTCCCTCTCTTGTCCTGCTCTGCACGGTCATGATTCCATCATGCAATGTTTTTTTTCAGGAGCTCAGAAAAAGGAAAAAAGCAAGGGGTGGTTCAAGGTATGTTCCTCAGTTTTCGTGGCTTTTCCTTTCCAAGTTTTTCCTTTCCAAGTCGCCTGGTATTTCTCGCTCCATTTTCCTAACACACAAAGGATGTGACTGTCCCTATACCGCTTTCCCTAGTGTTTTGTACAGGCCTCCCATTCTTTTGTCCAATCTTTGCGCTTGCTAATTGGCTCAAACATCCCTCCCCTCCTGTCCCACCCCTCTCTCCCCTTTCTCAGCAGCAGAAGCAGCACTTTCATCATCATCAGCAGCAGCGGCCAGAGCAAGAGGAGGGATCGTGGCTGGGCCGTCTGCTCACATGGGCTATCATCACCTACATAGCCATACTCGCTCTGCGCTCCTGCTGCTGCGGCACCACGCGCCCATCTGGTGAGATTGCCATTCTGGTTCTCTCTCCCCTCTCTCCCCTCTCTCCACGTCCTCCCTCGTGTTCTGATTACGCTTTCCCCCATTTCTGTCCGTACCTAGCAAGCTCAGGCCTTCGCATCCTGTCCTCCTCTCTCTACCACCCCTCTCCACCGGTGCAGGTCGGGGACCTGCAGCGGGGCAGGCAGGAAGCTTCTCCCCTCCTCCGCCGTCTCCCCCCCCTCCTCCCCCACCTGGATCCGATGATCCCTGGGGAGGGCCCAAAGGCTCCACAGGGTGAGTTTCTACACCGGCTGGGTGGGTCAGTTAATGTTATTAGAATGAACTGGGTCGGTTTACAGGCTGACTGCGCTTCTGTTCTGCGAATGCCGTTTTCATTAGCTCATAGATTCCTGCATGCTGAACTTGATACAGGATCCCCTTTTCCTGCCTTCCCTCCTCTGCCTTTCCTGTTGCCGTCTGTCTGATTTTTCCCCCTTCGCTCTTCAACTTCCCCTTTCTATGTTATCCAATCCCCCCCCCCCCCCCCTCCCTTCCCCCGGTGTCCCCCTCTCGCCGTCAGCTTTGCTGCAACCGCCCCTCCTCCCCCTCAGCCAGTCCCCACATGGGCATCAGCAGCCACGGGCTTTGGCCTTGGGTACCTGTTCGGTCGTAGGAGAACAGCAGCCCCTCCTTATCAGCAGCAGCACCGGCAGGGCTATTATGATGCTCCCAGGGCTCCCAACCCCTGGCCCAGGACTGACAGCGGTGGCAGCAGCGGGAGCGGGAGCAGGGGGGAAGACACTCACACTGCCACTGCATACGCGTCGACTAGCAGGAGATGAAGGGGGGTTTAGGGTGATGTACGGGGTGCGGTCCTGTGGTGGATGATTGCTGTTTTGGTGGTTAATTAGGTTAATTAGCATGGAAATACACGGAGAGTGCCCTTCTCCAAGCACACCAAGAGCATGTTCCTAGGACCACTTACCAAACGGGCCTCGTTTCATTCTCCTGATGCACCGCACTGAACTGCGTTCAATTAGCTTGTGTCAAACCGAAAAGCTACACTTCTGCATGTTGTGATATAATTCATTCCGTTGTCTTACTAGTCTACCATTCCAGTAAAGATCCTAGGCTAACACTTGAGGTTTTCTTGTTAGAAAGGAAGAATGATTGACTAGTGTGGGAAACGTAGAACGTATACCTGTTTGGGTTGTACTCACTAGAAGCACACACCTCGGCTAGCCTATAACTTCTACATACTGCATATGAATAAGTTGACACACCCCCTAGGCTAGAGAAGGGTGGTGCTAAGCAAGAAGCACCCAGCTCAGGGTGGCACTACTAGTCCAACCACTGAGGCAGGGGTCCGGAGACCAGTCAGCAAGAGTACAACAAGACTAAAGCAAACCAGGGCGGCACTGCTAGTCCAGCCACTGGGGGCAAGGCCACAAGGCCAGTCAGACAGGAGTATATATATATATATATATATAGTAGAGAGTACACAATCAGGGTCCTAACCAGTGAGTAGCTACAGAAACAAAACCAAACTGCACACAGTGCCGCTGATGATCTTTAGGCGCAAGCGCCTTCGTAAAGATATCAGCCGTGGTGGCACCTGAGGCCAAGTGAACTACGCGGGCCTGGCGACGCTGCTGTAGCTCGCGCAGGAGGAAGTACCGCAGCTGGATATGCTTTGCTCTGCCCTCAAGCCGAGGCTCCTGGCATAGGAGAATCATGGCCCTGTTGTCAGCGTACAGGACCAGGGTAGAGCTAGGCTGCTCACCTAAGTCTGTGAGCAAGAAGGTCAGCCAGCGGAACTCCTGTGCTGCCATGGCACCGGCGTAGACCTCAGCCTTACAGCTGGACTGAGCAACAGACGACGAGCGAGTGGATCTCCAAGAGATAGCACCCGAACCAAGGCTAAAACAGTAGCCCTGAGAAGACCTGAGCGTCTCAAAGTCGTCTGCCCAAGAAGCGTCTGTGTGCCCAGTGAGAACCACTGGCGTGCGTCCTCCAAGCACTAACCCCATGCTTGATGTACTCGCTAGATATCGCAAAACCCTCTTAGCGGCCGACCAGTGCTGTGGCCGGTGTCTGTCGGTGGCCCCAAAGCGAGCCAGGATGCTGAGAGGGTATGCGAGATCTGGGCGAGTGCAAGTCATCAGGTACATGAGGCAACCCACGAGCTCTGCGTAGGGGCCGCTGGGCTCTACTGGCTCCTCAGGAACGGGAGCGGAGAGCCCATGGTCTACAGGTAGAGGTGTGGGCTATGCGGGGGAAACTGAAGACCAAACCTCTGAAGGACCTGACGCACCAAGTGTGACTGTGTCAGAGTGATGGTGCGTGCTGCTCTGTCCCTGGAGTTCTACAGGCCAAGATAGCGACGCAGCTCTCCAAGGTCAGTGCAGGTGTGTCTCTTCAGCAGCTCAGCCTTCACAGAGGCCAGTGCGTCTCTGTCAGCAGTAGCAAAGACCAGGTCGTCTACGTAGACAAGGATGTAGAACGGAGTCTGGCCGGAACGCACAAAAAGTGAGGGGTCAGCAGAAGACGGAAAGAACTATATGTCTGCTAGCGTGGCACGCAGCGTGTCGTACCACTCGCGGGGGGCCTGGCGCAGGCCGTAGACCAGGCGCCGGAGAGGCCACTGGGTCCCAGGGGGGAAGGTACCAGTGAAGCCCTGTGGTCGGCGCAGGTAGACCTGCTCGTGTAGGCTGCCCTGGAGAAAGGCAGTAGAGAAGTCGAGGGAGTGAAGCTCGTAGTCGCCCTGTGCTGCGATGTGTAGCAGTGCCCCAAGAGTAGTCATCTTCGGGGTTGGGGCAGAGGTCTGGAAGAAGTCCACCCCCTCGCGCTGGTTGAATCCTCTAGCCACGTAGCGCGCCTTGAAGACAGGCGGCTCTCCAGGGGGGCGCTTCACCTTGAAGAGCCAGCGGCCATCGACTACGTTCACCCCAGGAGGGGGAACTGCGTCGACGAAAGTGCCGGTGGACCTCCAAGATGCCATCTCCTGCTCCATGGCAGCTATCCACTGAGAGGCCCAGGGTCCCGAGGTGGACTCAGCATAGGTGCAAGGGGTCGGGATGCCGAAGGCGTCTGGGTCACCCTCTGGGACTAGGAGCATGGAGCAGAGATGGGGAGCGGCCTCGGAAAGGAAAGCAAGCTCGTACTTTCTGTCCTATAGTACGTCACTGCCAAGGGCAGGTGCACCCCCGACGGACGCAGGACAGGCAGGGTCAGAGACCAGAGCGGTAGCGTAGTCAAGGCGGCGGGTAGAGGCAAAGTCAGCGACAGCAGCGACAAGCGCGTCAAGGCACGAGACAGGAACAGACAGGTCTGTAACAAGAGAGGCAAGGACCCGAGGGACGAGGGGACGAGCGACACGGAGGTAGTCAGACAACGGGGGAGGTGCAACAACAAGCAACGAGGGAGGAGGCGAGGGGAGGAGGGAGGGACGAGACGAGTGAGAACGGAGTAACATAGGGTGGGAGTTAGGGACAGGGGAGACGGGACGAGCACGCGAGGGACGGCGAGACCAAACGTGGGACGGAGGTGTAGGGTCTGGAGACAGCGGAGGGGACACAAGGGGGGAACGAGGAGGAAGTCGGGCCGGAGAAGAGTCCGGGGGCGGGAACACAGGGCCGTAGACAGGAAGGTGAGGAGGAGGTGGGGGAGACGCCGGCACGCGATCGGGAGAGGGAAGGCCAAGCAAGCGAAGAGCGGAGACCGGCGGCGACAGCTGCGGCGGCGGCGGCGACGACTGGGTCTCGACCCGTGGACCGGCAGGGGCACAACGACCACCGGGAGAACACTCAATGGCAGCACCCCCAGAACCAACACCCCCAAAGCGAGAAACCCCTCCAAAACCAGCGGCACCCCCAAGCCCGCCGGGACAGACCACGCCAGGAGCCACAAGACGAACCCCCTCCTCAACGCCAGCACCCCCAGAGGCCAAGAGCGGCAGATGCGGCGGCGGCGGCGGCGACTGCGACAGTAGGGGCGGAGACACCAGGGAAGGGGGGCGCGGCAAGGACGGACCGGGGGGACCACCAGAGTCATCAGACTCCACAACAGGGACAACCGAAGAGAGAGGAGTGACGTGAGAGACACCAGACGGGGCAGGACGAGGCGGGAGGGGAGGAGGGGCTACCGGTGGAGGGGGAGCAAGGAACAGGGGGGGGGGAACCGGGAGACATCGGTGAGGGAAGCGACGGAAGAAGGAGACAAACTTGTCAAAGGTGACGTCACGAGAGTGTAGGAAGCGGTGAGACTGCGGGTGGTAGAAGAGCCAATCAAACGAGTCCAGGGGGAAACCAAGGAAGACACAGGGGACAGTGCGGGCAGTGAGCTTGTCCGTGCCAGAGGCACGAACGTGAGCAAGGCAACCCCAGACGTGGAACGCAGACGCGTCACCGGGGGACCCGGTCCAAAGGAGGGTCGGCGAAACCTGCGGCCGCTGGGAGCGTGGCCACAAGTTAAGCTGGTGAGCGGCGTAGCGAACGGCGAACGGCCACAGAAAATGGGGTGCACCGGCATGGATCATGGAGGTACGAGCCACCTCCATCACCAAACCGATGCGTCGCTCAGTGACCCAATTCTGCTGTGGCGAGTCCGGCAAGGTGTACGACTGGGTGATGCCCTCCGCATGACAGAACTGTCCAAGCCGACCAGAGGCGAACTCGCCGCCACGGTCAGAGTGGAGACACAACACGAGGAGACCGCGGTGAAGACGCGCAGCCACAACCCACGGGAGAATAACGTCGGGCACATCGGCCTTCTGCTCCAGGGGAAACACTGTGGTGTAGCGCATGTAGTCGTTGACGAGCACAAGAAAGTAGCGCTCACCGCACGGTCCGGGGACGGGGGCGGGGCCCCAAACGTCCAGGTGCAGGGTCTGAAGGGGAGCAGTAGCAGGGCGAAGCGAGGAGGAGTGAGGGGCACAGCGGAGCCGGCCCTCTACGCAAGGCGTGCATGGTGGAGCAGGCGAGGGGGGAAGGGCGGGGAGCGACGCGGGGAGGCCTAAGAAAAGACCGTGCTGGGACATATGACGCAGACGCAGGAGAGCAGGGTGACCCAAGCGGTGGTGCCACAAAAGGGACGGGTGAGTGAGGGACCGACACGAGCAAGCTGCAGCGACCTGGGAGGACGCACCAACCGGGGGGGAAGCGGTGTTGAGGGTAAACAGACCAGACACCAGGTCCCGTGGGAACGTCGCAAGGGGGGAACCTGTGACAGCCTCAGTAGAGACAGCGAACCGCTCGTGCCCAGGGAACATAGTGGTGACGCCGAGGTCCTGAAGACAGCCGACACCAACCAGGTTCCTGGAGAACGAGGGAACGTGGAGGCATGTAAGGGAGCCCGAAGGAACGGTGGGACAGGGAAGGGAAGTGGAGCTGCGAGCGACGACGGGACCCGCAGGGGGGTCAGCGAGAGCGACAACAGCCGGCGCAGCAAGCGGCGCGAGCGTGGAGCGGTCGCGAAAGAAACAGGCAAAAGCACCAGAGTCGAGAGTGAAGGACAGCGAGGCAGTAGCGGAGGCCGGGAACGGAGCCGGTGCAGAGACTAAGCTAGGCAAACTAGGCAGTCCTACGCCTAACGCAGCAGGGGAGGCTAAGCTACACAAGGGTGATACACCTAAACTAGAGTACATAGGGTAATAGGATCCAGCAACACTAGAAGCGTCAGCATACAAGGCATGCAAAGCAGCACCTATCTGATCCATATCTAACTCAAAGATCGGCACGCCCTGGCGAAGCAGGCTGTGCCAGTCGGGGAGGTCCGGGGCTGGGCCAAAGCGACAACGAAAGAGATTGTCGAGGCGGCGGAAACAGCGAGCGGTCAGGTGCGGGCAGCGGCACAGAGTGCCGCGGAGGGGCCCGGTCTGAAGCTGGTACTGGCAGGTCACGCCAACGGAGCTGCCGGTAGGCACCAAGCTGCGCGGGCCGCCACCACTGCCACCGCCGACGGAGGTGCCGGGCCAACCTGGTGGGAGACGAGCCTACGATGGGGGCTGTGACAGCTACTGCGACGACTGCGACTGCTGCGACGGTTGATGCTGCTGCTCCTGGTGCTGGAGCAACGGCTGCTGCTCCTGGCTAGCTGCGGCAGTCCCCTCAGTAGAA